TCATCATGTTGTCCCACTGATCTCCAAATGACACTCCGTGGCCATATAGACGATTTCCGTGAGCGACATCAACAGCGCAAGCGGAATGGCTGCAATGCTCCCGCCGCGGTTGGGCCAGCGCAACTCGCAGATACGGTGGAGGACGGAACCCAGGGAGAAGGAGGCGCAAATGGCCACGTAGTACCAACCTTGGCGCAGCTGATAGATGGCTATCTTTATACTATAATTACATCAATTTATCATAATATAATATATATATAGTATATTATGTATAGTATATGCTATATATAATACTATATATAATATGACATAAGACATAATATATTACTATTACATACTATTACTATATCAGGTCAAGCTTATGTTTGAACATGTAGATTTAAATTTCCTCTACCTATAAGTCATGTTTGGGAAATCAAGAGATTGATAAGTTTCCGCAAGAAAAAGATCCAGTGTCGGACATTTCATCAACAAAGGCCCTATTGCGAATACAGCTGGGCCCCTGGGCTTTTGTGTCCCCAACAAATAACAAATGTTGGGTTGTCGGCTTCAAGTCGTGTTTCCCAAATTCGACACCCAAATTGCCCTAAATCTGGAGGCCGAATCCGGGAATCCAGGCTGGGTTTGTTTCCGATTTTTGGTATCTGAGAGAAAGAAACGACTAAAATGAATCGTGAAAAAACGCATGCGAACGCTGTCCTGAAAATTCCAGTTCCCGTTGCGAAAAAAACTTTGGCATCTAAGATATCTAAGTCCTAGGTTAGATTGGCTGGCTGAAGCAAACTTAATCCTCTTTCCCGTTGATATTAAATTATATACCTGAATCGGGCGGTAAATTGGTGAGCCGAACTTCAATTTGCCTTTAATTACACCATCTGAAATCCAACTTGTAAGCTTAAGATCAACCTCTGATGAGACTAAACGCTTGTTAACGAATTTGGGGATGCCCCAAGAAAAATACGGTGATACTGCAATGTGCTACTAAATTGATATCCCCCCCAATGAATCTAATTACGTTCAGTCGACATTCCATTCAAGACATCCCACACGTTCCAAGATATCCCACCAAGCAGCCAGTGTGTTGGTCATCCGACTTTGGATCTACGGCCACTCTTCCCAGCCAAATCGCATTCCCCGTGAGAATGCTGGCGAATGCTTGGTATCGCACCAGACTCACCACATCGGCATAGCCGGTCACCACCGCGAAGAGCGTGGCAATCCAGGCGTGTTTGGTGAAACGCCACTCTTCACTGGAGACCATTGCGAAAGCACAAGAGAATGGAGGTTAATAAATTTAATAAGCAAAAGGAGAAGTGTCTCTTTGCAAAGCATCATGTGTTTCTGTGTTTCTGGTCTAATCGAACCCATATCAACCCAAATGCTATGCAGGAATCGGTTGTGATGCTCAAACATCATCAAACATCCGCTCAAACATGCACCTCCGATCCCTCTTGAATCAATGCATATCTGGAAAGTCAACGTGGTTCGACATTTGAACACACGGAATTACAAACCGCTATATACGCCTTCATCTACTTCACCCTCTTTCATATTGTGTCATCCAACAGTGTATGAGATTTGGAATGTCTGCTAGGCTGATTTTGAACCGAAATGAGTTGCGCCTTCCGCAACTGCTTGATTTCTTGGACCAGGCCAAGAAAAACCACACATGAAGATATATGAATCAATATATGAAGTATAAGCATGTATAAGCTATTACATGTCATCCAAAAGTTGGAAAAATATGGCAGTGTGTCAAAACCTTGTACCCCTTCTGTTCACATCAAAATAGCTGGGATTTATGGATGTTCATCCCTCTAAAAATGGCATTAATAGGTATTGATCCATAGCCATATCTGGATCAAGCTTCACAACAGCCTGGGGCTCCAAACCATGTCCAGGCTCGTCGTATTCAACGTGGCTGGCGCCGGAGGGACCGGAGGAACTGGAGGGACCACGGTGCGCACCGTGGCAGCTTCCGTGGTCGCAGTCACCACGGTTGCCAGGGTAGACACCGTGCCTGCCATGGCAGTGCTGTGTTGGTTGAACTTTGCCATGGCAGTGATCATCTTGGCAAATAGCTTGGTAGTAGCTTTGGCCAAACCAAATCAAAAGATACTGGAAGCCGGGTTTCTCTCTTACAATATTGAGGTATATTGAGGTATTGGGATGTGTTGATATGTATTGGCGATACATGTCATATGCAGCTCTGACAGTTTAGTTGTTTGACTCCTCCAAAGTCATGTCCTTTGATCCTGTCGCAAAATGGAGGCATCCTTCTTATCACACCAAATTTGCTCCCATCGAAACGAAAGTGATCATAGGTCATCATCACATCCCAAAATACCCCAAGTGAATCTCATGTTTGAAACAACAAACCAAGAGGTTTCGGGGCTTGGAACTGACATCGCCATTTCTGTCCACCTGCGAGTTGCGTAGCTTCCGAGACGTTGCCTGGGCAATGTCTAAAGTGGTCCCTCAATCATTGCAGCGAGATCTGTGGGTCCGAACTATGCACTTAATCCACCTGCATAACACATAACATCACAAGCGTGAATTTATATATCATATCATATAATATCATATAATTATGTATAACAGTACATATATAATCATGTATATATACGCGGTGTAGTATAGATATACATATATATATATGTGTGTGTGTGTGTGACTATGACATCTCTCAGAAATATGAGCCATCATCTTCCACACCCCAACATGGGTTGGACTTAAAACGACTGAAAAGTCTGGTGTTTGACTGGTGAACCCCGGACCTCCTTTCAACGGTCGAAGAGGTCAGATTGGGGACCACCAAGTCTCAGAACTTGCAAATGCCCCGGGGCAAAGTAGTTATTTCAAAGCCGCAGACTGGAGCACACAGACCTTTTGCAGCACTATCTTTCTAACCTCAGCACAAGCCACTGCAATTGGTAAGAAGCAAATCGACTGCCCTTCTGATCTGCTTGTCTCTGCCTATGCCAAACTTGGTCTGTCAATCTGCTCTTTGCCAGTGGCGCAACAAGGCTTTTTCATTCGGCAGGCGAACCTCTGTATCCTTCCTATCTCACAGCGCTCTGTACCAAGAATCACTGCCAGAATTGCTCCCAACGCCCCAGGTACAAGCATGTTAAATTGGCTAAATATAGAGATAACATGGCTAAAAACCAGAACCCTGACTGCTGACGAGAATTTTGGTCACTTCGCCGTTATCTCTGCTTTTCCATGTCCGTCTCTCGTGCCGCTTGCACCTGGCTCTCTCGATCTCCACCTCCTTGTTGCACTGGTCTTTGTGCACCTTGTACTTTTCCTGCTCACATTTCATCCTCTCCTGCTCACGCTTCATCTTTTGGATTTCCACTGCTTTTTCTCCCAACTGTGCCATGCACTCCTTATTTGTAGAGATGAGGTGAAGTTCGCAATGTACCCGAATGCCAAAGCGGCAGCAGTCACGGCCACAGCAGAGTTGTTGAAGTGAACGGAGAGAAAAACCAATACGCCAATCAGCGCCATGATGCAATATTGCTTCTGCTGTTGGATTTGGGCATGAGATAAATGAGCTTCCACTGTTCCTGCCATCTTTGGCAACTCCATCAATTCACCTCCCAATCCTCCCATTTGAAAAGCCGAAGAAGCCGAAGAATCGCAAGATCTTGACCCAAAGCGGCTGATACGGCATGACACGGCATGACACGGCTGACGTGTGAGCACGGCGGCGAGCAATGCTGGGGTCAGTGGCTGTCACGTGAACTTAAAGCCAATTGAACTAAGGTTCCGGCGCGTGGAAGTTCGCCACGAACGAAGAACCAGCGTTTCAAGGAACAGGACGGAAGAAACCCGCGACAGAACTTGAAGAGTGAAGAAGGCAGCTTACAATTGTGAGCACGGGTCAAAGTCAAATAGAGCCTTGATTTTCAATGTGCAAGGTCATATAGACCAAAACTTGAAATCAAAGAATTGATCCACTGCCGCCTCTGATGGCGAAGCATGTCTTGCTGATTCACCAGGAAACTCCCCGCCACTGAATATTCTTGCTTCACAACATCAAACCAACCATTCTAGCTGGATCATGCTGGATCTAAATCAGTTCCTTCAGTTCTTGGGCAAAAGTTAACCCATGGAAACTCCATGGGTTTCACCCTGATTGGAGAATTGGAAGGGAATTATTTTTCGATGTCTTGCAGGGCATCCTGTCAGGAACTTCACCCAAAAACCAGGTAACCTCCGTGGGATTCACTCAGTGGGTCCCGCTGGGCTCACAGCTGGGCCGGGCTGGGCTCTCCGCCGTGCCAGGCACGGCGCCACCTCCACCTTGCGGTTTGTTGTGTGGATCGTCAAGGTGTTCATTACTTCATTGGGCTACCACTACGAAGTATGAAAGTATATATATACATATACATATATGAAAGTAGAAATTGGTCAGAGTGTCCAGTGTCCACCACAATCTTTAGATTGTTTTCGGTTTTTCACAAAGGCCTGGTCCGATTTCTTATTCAAATCTACTGCAGGTCAGGGAAGACAACATCTGGATGTGTCATCCTGTTTTTCTAAAGCCAATTGGTCACTTCTTGCGGTAATCTACGGCGGTTCCATGGCCAACAAGAACAAACACAAGTCAAGCAGTACGTTATGTCGATATTTAATGTATGGAAACTCTTTGGTTCATTTGGGCCGAAAGAACCACAGTTCAGTACTTCAGTCCCATCGCAGAGCCTGAAACCGGATTGGTGGGAGCTCCTGCAGGTGGAGACAAGATGGGATTGATGGATTCCATCTTGTAACCATTTAGCAACCATTGACTGATTCCGCTTGCTTTCATTGCAAGGATCATCTCTCATCACGCTATAAATTATTGAAGCTTGGATATCCAACATCAGCTGAGTCTAGGGGCTGATTGCTAGAAACAGGGACATTCTAAATTCCGGACCCTGAACATGCACCATTTAATTTAATGGTTGAATATATATAGGGGAACACGGCTGCTGGCTTTCGAAGTCCTTTTTTCTACCACAGCCACAACCCGCACGGCGCAAGTTCGGCCGAACTTCAAGACTACTCGTGAAACCAGGTCTAGTGTGAACAAGGCAAGATTCAGCGCCTGCTGCAGCAATTCAGAAGTCAAACTTTCAGGATCCCACTTAAACAAAGCAGTAAATGACTAAAAATGGCAGATGTTGGCCGTCCATATCATCCCTAGGGACACCTGGGAAGAGCTCTTTCGGACTGATCATCGCATTTTTACACAACCTGGAGGTGTCCTAAAATGAACCCCCAAATCATCCATGTTAATAGGATTTCCCATTATAAGGCATCCAGCTATTGGGGTACCCCATTGTAGGAAATCACCACATCCACCCAGGTTGCTATCCAAGTGTCGCTGATCTCATCGAACCTGGCTGGACCCCAAGTCACTGGGGCCTGGTTGAAAAAGCCAGGCCTAATGATCCAATGGGATTTAGCATCCCCAAAAAGTGGAAATGTTTCATGTTTGACACCACCAAAACATGATTGTGATGACATCACCGAAAAAGTGATTGTGATACATCTAAAATTCTAAAACGATGAAGGATGTGGGCTTTGGTCCGACCGAACACCACATTTCTTTGCGGACCATCACCATCTTCGGTCAACGCTTCGCCAGATTATCTGCTTGGTGGTTGAGAAACCCATCTCAAGAATATGCCAACTAGGGCCAGGGTGGAAAATCAAAGATATTTGAAACCGCCAACCAGTCATGATAACCCAATAACCCAACTATAACCCAACTGGAGCGTTTGGCCTGCGCTTTCTGCGTACCCGTGGCGCCATAGGCTGAGGCAGTGGGTGCCCAAGGTGCTTCTTCTACTAGGCCCTCCAAAGGATAGTTCCTGATCGGCTGGATGTGGTTTTTCATGCGAGCTTTCGGAAATAAGTGACATTTCAATGACAAATGGTGCTGTTGATGATTAGTTACTAACAGGTACCATGTTGAACGTCCAAAAGCAACACATGACATGTGTTTCAGACCCCATCTGTTCAAGGTCTGCGGATGAAAGAATCCAGGAAATATTTAAGGCACCCGTGGAAGATGCTTCCCCGAAGCTTGGTTTCCACATCTTACATGTTTTCCACCATAGACCTAGATGAAAATCATGGGGATTTTTTCCCTGGCGGTCAAAACCCTGGTAACCTGGTACCTACTGAAGTTACTGAACCCCAAAGTACCCTCTGGTAATTTAACAGTTTGCTATTGAAAATGGCCATAGAAATAGTGGATTTACCCATTGATAGCATGGTGGATCTTTCCAGTTCGCTATGTAACAAATTACCAGAGGGTAGCTGGGATGTGTGGATCTTCATCTCACTAAAATTCACAATCCAATTGGATGTTGACCCACTCCCATGTAGCTAAGATGGATGTCTCCACAGCTCAACTGTTCAACATCTTGAGGGACTGAAAAGACCACCCTTGAACGGGAGCCAGCGGGCGCCCAATATGGGCGGATGGTGATGGGCTATGATGGGGTCACACTTTGAACATGTGCTGTCAGCCCTCGTTTGCTGTCCAGGAGACCCATGTTTGCATGTCCAAATCTATGCCAAATCTATGATAAGAATTGGGTTTCCAACCCTCAAATCGTGTCAATTTGGATGCTCCCCCAGGTCCCCTCCACTGAATCCACTGAGAACCCCGGACAGCTCCATGAAGGGTAGCCATGCTTTTACCAACTGAGCGGGGTGGAACCCTATGCCCTGCAGATCTGGTTTTTTTTCCCAGCAGTTTGACCAAAATGTTTCAAGACTTCAATCGTCTCTGCAGCCTGTACCGTATCATTTTTGTCCAGACATTCCCCTCTTCATAGTACTAAAACTTGTTGCTTGTTTTCACCCATCCCAAACACTTCATGTGGCCAAACGGGTATAGTATGATCTTCCACTGCCGGATTTCAGGTATTCCATCATAGGCTGGGGAAATCCAAGGGAAAAATCCTGGGTGTCAAGACCTCCAAGGCTCCCCAAAAAATGTCATGCTGCGCAGTGAACTTGGGGAACCATCGGATGGTTTCGTTGCATGTTGGAGTGGCGGAAAAATGCCGGACCCCCAAAAAGCCCAAAGATTTGTCGTTGGTGGTTCCTCCTTGGGAAACTTCCCGCCTTCAGGATCCAGGTGGTCAAACCTCACGCAAAAAAGGACGATCCCAAAATCCGAAAAAAGGGCCGTCTCTATGGCCGGGATGACTTCGGATTATCAAGGTTGACTTTGGCATACCCTCTGGTAAACATACAAAAAACTATGGAAAATCACCATGCTATTAATGGGTAAATCCACTATAAATCACCATTTTCATCCATTTTCAATAGCAAACTGTTAAATTACCAGAGGGTACTTCGGCAAAGAAATGGTTGACCCATGATCAACCATGTTGCCCCTGAGTCACAGCTACTGGTCCATCTTGAACTCCAACCTTTTTGTGCTTCCGGTTTTTGTGCAAAAAAATTGATGGAGTTGCAGCTGACAAATCAGCTGAAATCACTCGCCAAGTAGCGATGCTGCAACATGGCATACCACAGCACACCAACCAGGCCGCCAATCACTGCACCCACCAAGACCTGCTGGGATCATCAAGGGCGGGCAGGTGGTACCAGTGGGATCCCCAGAGTTTCGTACCTTGGCATTTGATGATACCTTAAGGCATTATTCCATTATCTATGTACAGTATATGATTTGCATATAGAATTTATATGCTAAATAGTTATAAATATTGTTTATGGGTTTTAGTGAGAACCCCTGCACGCAGGGGGCAAGGGCGTAACCCCTGCGTGCAGATCTGATCTTTGCTGGGGAAATTGGACCTCACTACATCATCATCATCCCAGGTTGATATCCTATGATGGTTGATATCCCACTGTTGTTGTTATACCGTTATACCAAGTCCTGGGATATCCCATGTTTCTACATATCATTATTCTATATTATTCTATTATCTGGTTGGTGGTACACCTTTAAACCCCTCTGAAAAATGATGGAGTTCGTCAGTCAGTTGGGAGGATGACATTCCCAACTGAATGGAAAGTCATAAAATTCCATGGTTCCAAACCACCAACCAGATATCTCATTAACCATCATTAACCACTATGATCATTACCCTCTGGTTATTTAACATAGCCATGGAAAATGGTCCATTTATAGATGGTCTACCTATTAGAAATGGTGGATCTTTCCATGGCAAACTGTTAGTCATAACCAGATGGTAATGATCATAGAACCATCATTAACCACCATTATCCACCATTAACCACTATAATTCATCCGTCATGGTCCGAACATGTTGAGTCACAGATTTCGCCTGAGCCCAGGAATGGTCGTGGAAAACCACGCGACTCCACCCCACTGGGATCAGCAAAACGCCTGCGTCAGCAGAGCTGGGAGAACTGGCACTGAGAGCTGCGTTTCTGCCACCAAAACCATGGGGAACTGCTGCGTGCAGTATCATGCAGTTGGATTGTTAGATCATATTTCATAGTCATTGGCATGAAATATACAGTGACCCCAGAAGAGGATCAATGAGTAGAAACGCTGTGAAACCACCAACACCCACCAGGTCCAAATGGTTTCGTTTTGCTCAATATTTCACGATTACGGAATCGACTGAAGATTTTTCGGAACGGTCAAAAACTGAAGAAGCTGTTGAACAGAACACGTGATAGCTTTGGTGTCTATATATCCTGTTTCGGTCAAAACATCCAAAAGCTAACGAATTTTGGTGGAACCCAAGTCTGGCTGCTTCATTCCCATGCCATGTTTTCCCTGACTCCATCCAGTTGCCCTCTGGGATTCACCTGCCACCGCCAAGATGATGTTTTTTTGCCTTGGAATTCCCACTCCGGGTTTGGGCAACCAAAGAAAATCAGGTTTTCTTGGCTCATTCACGAAATGGTCAGCTGAAAAAGCTATCCAACTGACTACTGGCTCATTGAGAACTCCCATTTCTTGTTAGCTTGGCTTCAATCCACAGATGTTTGCGGTTGCATGTTATCTGGCCTCACATCGTTTCGAAAAATCAGAGATCCATAGAGATCCCCATGATGAAGATCAGCTCCATGGCAATGAAAATCCACCATTTTTTTGGATGATTGTTACATTGAAACCGCCATAAAAATAGAGATTTCCCATGATCTCCCCAGGCGTTTCCCAATGAACAACCTCCATTTTTCTTGGGGATTTCCCCAGTTTGCCTTGATGACACCAGAGACTAATCCTCCCAACGAAATCTCTGAGCATCGGCCTCTGATCCATCAACTGGGCATAGTGGACCTGCGCCGGTGTCAATCCATCCCCAACAGTCTTGGGATCATCTGCCCAAATGTGGTTTTATAGTGTTTTAGATGCTTTTAAAAGGAACAAGAACAAACTACCAACACGGAAAAGGGGTATGGATGGGTATGGTTTATCAGCTTAAAGCTGGGCATGGAAGAGCAAGAGTCTGAAACCAACAGCTGGCCGTATCTACTGGCTGACCAAATCTCATGGAAGGCTAATTGGTTGAAACCAAAAATGCTATGAGATCCAATCAAAAAATATCAAAAATCGGTTGACTTCTTTCTGTCATTTCAGCCTCATATCTGGATTGCCGCATTTCTTCCTTCAAAATCAGTCTCTGAAGCTGAAACCATCAGAAACCCCCAGGTTGATGCCTCCATGAAGATCCACACGAACGTCCCCACGCTCCTGGCGGAGATCTCTGTGGTGCACCCCGGATAAATCCCCAGGAGGTCTTGATCGCTTCATTTTAAGCGAGCCCAAAAATCCATGGGAAATGCAGTGGTTTTTCCCTGGAAATGATCAAACCAAACGGTGGATGATTGCCTGCATCGATAGGGTCTCAATAAGCCGAGAGCCGAGAGCTGAGAGCTGGTCAAAATGGTCATATGATACTGTGAAGAAAGAAACCACAAACCAATGGTAAATCCAACCATGAAAATTTTAATGAACCTGGATCTCTGGTAGAATTGCGGATAGGTTCTAATTGGGTATATGGTATACCACATTAGGTCTCTGTTTTGTCCGCCAAACCTTTGTTTCTGTAGTCTCCGGGGGGGTCTTGGTTCCCATCCAGTCGTCTAAGCTTCCGACACAAGCGTGTGGCCGGATGGCATGCCGCAGCTTGTGCTACAGGAGCCCTGGCGATGGACCCATCGTATGAAAGCGACCCAAATCATGATCCAATGAATTTCTGGTTGGTGGTTGACCTACCCCTCTGAAAAATATGAATTCGTCAGTTGGGATGATGACATTCCCAATATATGGAAAAATAAAAAATGTTCCAAACCACCAACCAGATTTGATGTACATTCCCACACATTATTTGAGTCTTGTTAGAATTAGTTGGACACGAAAACAGGAGCTTGCGCCGATACTCTACAACAATCAACCACCGACAGGTGGTTTCGACCAATCCCAAAGGTACGAGTCAATTTTGCAGTTGCGGTTGACTGCACTATCGGCGGTTTTCACATTGCATGTACACTTACCTTGTCTCAAATCATCATCCGATATATTTTCCAAGTGCAAATCGCCATATTCTAAGATCATCATTTCAAAAAATTACCTTACTTCGTGTGACCCCCACCATGACATTTATAAATTTCTTACTGGCAAATCTTCTGGCATTCTATCTGACATATCTTCTGACATTCTATTTGGCATTCTATCTGGCATATCTTCTGGCATATCTTCTGGCATTCTATCTGGCAAATCTTCTGGCATTCTATCTGGCATATCTTCTGGCACTCTATCTGACATATCTTCTGGCATTCTATCTGGCATATCTTCTGGCATATATTCTATATCTTCTGGCATATCTGGCATATCTATCTGGTCTGGCATTCTATCTGACATATCTTCTGGCATTCTATCTGGCATTCTATCTGGCATATCTTCTGTATATTCTGGCATCTTCTGGCATATCTTCTGGCATTCTATCTGGCAAATCTTCTGGCATTCTATCTGGCATATCTTCTGGCATTCTATCTGACATATCTTCTGGCATTCTATCTGGCATATCTTCTGGTATATATTCTGACATATTTTCTGGCATTCTATCTGGCAAATCTTCTGGCATTCTATCTGGCATTCTATCTGGCATTCTATCTGGCATATCTTTTGGCATATTATCTGGCAAATCTTCTGGGATTCTATCTGGCATATTTTGTGGCATTCTATCGACATCTTTTCTGACATTCTTCCCGTTGAGGTCCGGCAGTGCCCACTGCGATCTGGATGTCGCGGTTGAGGTCCGGCAGGGAACACTGGGCGTGGATGGTCGTGGTTGAGGTCCGACAGAGACCACTGTGCGTCGAGGGTCGCGGTTGAGCAGGAGGAGGACGACGAGGAGGACGACGAGGAGGAGGACGACGAGGAGGGGGAGGAGGAGAGGAGGAGGAGATGAGGAGAGGAGGAGAGGAGGAGCAGGCAACTGACATAAAATCTAACAACCCTCACCTGGCAGGTGGGGAAAAATAGTTGAAACCGCCAAACAATCCCCAGAAACTGCGTTAGGCCTGCGGCCGCGGCTGTTGCATGATCATTTTCAAGATGAACATGACCTGGTCGAAGGGGTTGAAGAACCCATTGGGTCTAGCTGTGAGGGTTTTGCTCCTGGGTAGAATGCACTCGCCGACAATATAAAATGGAAACTTCAGAAAAACAATCTGGGTTTGGCCAAACATTGTATCATGATGTATCATGTGGACAATTATGACTAACAAAATTGGGAATGTTAGTTAGTTACTCATAATTCCCCAGATGATTAGTTAACTAACTAAGTATCAATGTCCAGAAGCAGCAGTTTTAACCTCAGAAGGTTCTGCCAGGCGTGCTCTCTCCAAAATCCATCAAGTTGGCTGTCAGAAATCCCTCCTTCGATGATTGGTTCAAAGTGTCCCAATGGTCACTTCAAGCAAAAAATGTCTGTAAATGTTCATCATCATTATCATCATCATCATCATCATGCCAGGTGAGATGTAAGATAAAATAAGTATTGCATACAACAGATATCATATATAATATGTATATATAATTATATATATATAAGTTAGACTGTTGCTCCCCCGTCTTTCTCATCTAACCGCCCACATTATTATACAAGCAAATTCTATGGGGTTAATACCAAAGACAGGGAGCAACACCTTATAGAAAACAATAACATAAATCATAACAACAAAACAACAAAACAAAAAAAACTCAAACGACCTAAACAATACAATAGATTATAAAAAAGACTATACCATAAATCATAACAAAAAAACATTTTCACTTTTATAATTTTGTAAGTTCTCCAGATGCTTTGTTGTTTGTGTGTGTCTCTTGTAATTCTTACATTGAATTTCATAATCATCACATACAGGGCAGGTCATCCATTTTATTTTAGCATTCACTTGTTCAATGTTTTCTGCTCTATGATTTCTTCTTCTTTCATTTATTTCTTCCCTGCGTGTCCTACCATAATTTCTAGCATATTCCTTTGCCTCCTCTATATGATTGTAATAATACTCTCTCCTCCTTTCATTATATTTTTCTTTGTTCTTTTGATGATTAGCCCTCATATATTCCCTACATTTATCACAAGTTTTGTATTTACCCTCTTCCATTTCCTTAAAACGTTTAGCACACTTGACTTTAGTATCCTCCATTACCTACTATAGATAGGTAATAACTCTTTAAGTGTCTTTCCTATCCCTTTTCCCTAGATTATATATAACATAATCAACAACAAAATCATAACAAACACATAAAACAAAGAAAAAACAAAACAACCTAAACAATACAATAGATTATAAAAATAGTCTATACCATAAATCATAACAACAAGAACAAAATCCTAACAACCTACTACAAACAAAATACAAACAAAAGCATAACAACAAAACAACAATCACAAAATCCTAACAACCTACTATAAAGAAAACCAAAAACATAAACCATAACAAGCTCATCATATCAACCCATCTCATCAATCTCATCCGTAAAAAATGTATAATACAATCATCATAATAGTATTGAATAATTTTCATCAAAGCATGTACAAATATAAATCATCTTACCTTATCTATGTCATAGGTGTTATTTCTAGAAATCATAATTGCTAGAAATAGTCCTAGAAAATAATTGCAACATTAATTTAATAGAATTAATTTATCAGATTTATGTAACCAACATAATATTCATAATCATTTATTGAAGATTATGGGATTAATTACCACAGTCTCCTCCTATCGGGGAAGCCTCAGCCCCCAGCCAATATACTATCCCACCCCCCAGCATACATACCAGCATACATACAAACTAGCATATCACAACAGCATCACATCTTTCTCAATCTCAAATCTCTTTAATTGCCGCAATTACCATGCCCGAACCGCCCTTCATGAACTTGTTGATAACCATGTCTTCTTAACCTCAGCACGGTGTGAATGGCAAAGCAATCCAAACTTTTAGGGCGAAATGGAGTGAAAAGGATTGTGTGTGTCCATACTTGTCGGTGCCAGTCTTCAAGTATCTGGGTGTTTGCCTTTCTATCAGGCATGAATGCTCTATTGAAACAATGCCTACCTATATACTGTACATGCAGACCTTTTCAATCACAAAGGATCTGCTCAGAGCACTGTTTTGCAAGTCGCCCTTGGGCGAAGCAAGCGTTCTCACGCACTTTCGTCGTTGCCAAAATTGGCGAGCAACTGGCGTGATGAAGTGATAATTGTCTCATCTAAATACAACAGTGGTGCCGCTGCTTTTCGCACTCGAACCAGTCGCAGCAGCATTGGTGGGTTGCATTGGTCCGACTTGTTGTGAAGATTTTGGCCGTTGGTTTGCTGATATTGCTTGGGCTGTTGATGTTTGCAGCTCCAGCGCGCAATGCAAGGATGATGAGGCAAGCGACCAAACGGATTTGCGCCATGAACCTGTCCACACCCCTAAGCTAAATAGCGTGCCCGAGTGGTTTGAACAAAAGATGCTGCGAAATGACACAAAATTCCAAGCTCAAACTGCAAGAGCTAATTTCTGTAGCTTTCCAATTGAGAATGTCAAAGGTGCTCAAATTGAAACAAATTCCAAGGTCAAGCTCTCCAAGAACATGTGGCTTCAAATCTCCGACTGACATATTCCCAAAAGCTGAGCGTCCCGACAACAGGATGAAGAAGAGATTGATGACAAAGCCAAGGCGAGGAAGGGCAAAGGAACATGGAGCAATCCCAGCCAATGACCCAAACGTGCCAAACACAAATTCGTGGGGAAAAACAAATGAAGGGCAAAACACAAAACCCTGAAATCAAAAGAGCACATAAAATCAACCATCTGATGGGAAAAATGCTTACAAGGCTTTCTAAAAACACTAAATCTTTAAAAGTTCGTGCCTCATCAACAATCTTGGGTAATCAGTTAATTTGTAATATTGTTGGTTCAACTTTTCTGCAATCTCTTGCACAACATAATAACCATTCAGCCAGTGGGAAGTTCTTTCTTTCTCTGTATTGCTTTCTTTCTCATTATCTTTACTTTGTCTCCCACCCCTAATGTTGGGTATATTCTTTCTTTCTTTGCCTTTGATGCTACATTCAGCATTGCTCTGAATTCATTTTTATCTTTCCTTGCCTCTTTTGGTGTCATACCTGTAGCGGAATGCTTCATTTTATCATTGTATGTCAGCATAATTTCTAAATTGTAATCAACCCATTGGATGTTTTCCTTACCCTTCTTTTCATCAGCCTCTACTCTTTTAAAAAGCATATCTTTGTATGTGCGTATAAATCTTTCAGCAAATGCTGGGTGTCCTCTAGTCCTATGTAAGGTTATACCTTCACCTTCCACATAATCTTTAAAGTCTTCACCTGCTATTGCTCTTTCATCATCTGTATAAATCATCATTTTAGGCTTCTTACCCATTTTCCCTAATGCCTCTTTAGTTGTTTCAAGGACATCTTCACCATTTTAGTTTTAATTGGAACTACCACCGCAAACTTGCTCAAAACATCAATACACACTAACCCTCCTCTAAACTTTTGTTCCTCATCAAAATCATAATACCCCATAAAGAACAAATCAATTTGATAAGTGTAATGATTATGTGGTGCTACAAAGGAATTCATCCCTCTGGGCTTTGCTTTGACTTCTACATTCTTTCTAAAGAATTGTTCAACATCCTCTTTCTTGATTGTAGGTTCTTTCTTTTTAGCATCTTCTAATGTGGTCTTTCTTGAACCATAGCCCGCTTTATCAAAATAAATATCACTAATAATCTTCTGTTTATCACTCATTATAGAATAGATGATATAATAAGTATATATTATATCATTTATTCTTGCTCTTGTTGCTTCAGCCAGTCTTGATGTTTTTTTGTCTTGTTATGTCTTGATGTTGAGCAATTCTGAACTGGTTTTCCACACCCACATATAAAATACTGTTGTCGCATATCTTTTGTCTTTTCATAATACTGTTTTTTCCTCTCCTTTATTTTCTCTGGAATGGCAAGTCTATATTCTTTCTGCTTCAATAGCGCTTCTTCCTTGTTCTCATAGTAGTATTCCAGTTGCCTTTCATTTTTTTTTTCTCTTGTTTGTTCTTTGTATTCTTCTTTGGTTCGTCCTGCTATATGTTTATTTACACAGTCATTGCTTTGGATGTAAAACCCTTCTCTTTTTGTCAGTTCTTCTTTAGTATTACAGGGGAAATGTTCTACTAATTCAATTTTACAATTTTCAAAACCAAACTTGTCAAATATGTAATTTACACTTCTAAAAAACGGTTTGTCTTCATAATCCAAGTGAAAAAACTTATGTTTATGGTGTATCATTCTTTTTGTTAGTGGCTCAATAGTTGAACCATAGTAGCGCTCTTGGTATGCTACATCTGTAATCATATATATGTTGCCCTTTTGATACTTATTATCACTCATTTGACCTCTTAATATCTTTTTTATAACATCATTTTGTTTTCACGGGTTTCAGACTATGACCGAGACCCTTCCCGGAGAACCCCACCAAGAGGCAGATGCTGGCGCACCTTTTCACTCCAGATTGGGCTCGGTGATCTTGAGCCAGTCAGTTGATTGGCCCTTGAGCCAAGTTGCAACAGTCGGAGGACGTCTCAACGACTGTGAAAACTTTAAAGAAGACCTTAGTGGGGGTGCAGTGGTACTCTGTGCATGTTTCCCAAACCGCACTCCCCCTTCCTGCTTGCAGGAATCCAGGTTCCCCAACACCAAAAACAAAAGCTTCAGGGGTGGCCACGTTTCCTCTGGGAACTCGCCCTTCCCCCAGCCAGAAGGGCGAAGACCCTCGTGTGCCATAGTCCCAGGCTGGTGTTGGTTCCCCCTTCATCCAAGGGTCGCGTGGAGTTCCACTTCGGGTTGACTCCAAAAATTGAAAAACTACAGCCCTAACTTCGTAGGTTTTGAATTCCCTCTCTCACCAGCGCTGTCCTCGAAGAGCGCCCAACGGTGTTCTTTGGGTCCAGCAGCTGATGAGCTTTTCCCTGTATTGGTCTTTTCCACCGGCAGCTAATGATCTTTTCCTTGGGTCTTGTTGATCTTTTTCTCCAGCCACCGATG